AGAAGTCGGACAAGGAAGTGCTGATGAGGAAGGACATTAGCATCCTGCAAGAACCCCGGCTTACTGTTAAGATCAACCACGTGAGTCTATTTAAAGAGTAATAGGGATTTATTAAGATACACATTGAGGAAATACACTCAAAAATATAGAACCACCAAGTAAACAGCTGAAATCATCCTCTGTTCTGATCGGGAGCAAATCCACCTGGCAGTCTGATCACACCAGGAAGCAGGAAGAAGAGGCCTTGTGACCCCTCTCCCTTTCCTTTTAAGAGGTCATGTATGACGGCAAGAGGCACCACCTCCTTCATGTTATATAGCCCAAGGTCACGGGCAGAGCAGACACGACCACCGCTTACACCTCACCTGTACCATCCATGCATGCACACTACTGCTGGATATGTGCAAGACATTCTCCCCCGGGGCAGTACAAGAGCGATCGCCTCCTCCCAAGGATTGGCTGCATAGGAAGGAAATTGTTCAGGCACCCACATTCCCCAGAGGGCTTGGAAGTCCCTTCTACTGGGGAGAAGGCTTCCCCAGGGCCCCAAGCAGCAGCAGGGGGTGTTGACAGGGACAACACTCCTGGGGACAGTGAGCTGGAGCCTGTGGAGCAAAGGCAGGTGGCAGTGTCAGATGCAGGTGTGTGCATGAACATAAAGAGCAGCAAGAGCCAGGTGGCAGCTGGTGGCAGCACCTTATTGGCAGAGAGCTGCTTGGGCAGTTACAGGATGTAAAAAAATCCCCAGAGGGGAGAAAGGCAGGCTAGGGCCTGCTTAATTCACACATCAGTGGATTGGTAGAACGTGCTTAGGTGACGGTACCGCTTTCAACCATCAGGTTTGTGTGATGTGGTTAAGGGCTGGGGCCTTCAAGGGGTCACCAGGACTCTTGGCTCCTGTCTGGCGTTAGATGGTGTTGCATTAGATGGAATCACAGGGGAACGTGTCCACCTTCCACCATGTGATTACACAGTGCTCCTTCTCTCCAGAGGGTGCAGCATCGAGTGTATCCAGTGGCCCTCTCAGAAGCAAAGTCAGTCAGATCTCAGAGTTCCCAGTCTCTGGACTCGGCTTGCACGTGGTTTAGAACACCTGCATACACATGTACACAGCAAACACACACACACACACACACACACACACACACACACACACACACATACACACACACACACACACACACACACACACACACACACACACACACACCAGTTTTCTGAAGAAACTCCTACAGCTATTGGTTAGGCCACAAGTGCTTGGAAATGGAGATTCTGGGACTGTTCAAAGTTGAACGTGAAGGCATCACCTGCTGCCACATCCCCTTTGTAGGATGTTTGAGGACCGAGGACCAACAAGGTTCTGGCACAGACCTGTTGGCTCATGCACTGTACTTGACCTGAGAGTCAGAAGTCCAGACCTCTTCCTGAGCCCTGCCTTCTCTCTGTGTCTCCCTGCTTTCATCCAAGCATGTGTGTGAACTGCTTCCCTCTGCAGCCCAGGCTTCCTGCAGCCTCTGGCTGGCATCTCAGTCAGAACCTTTCCAAAATGCTACACATAGACCCACTCTCCACTTTCCAGTAGACGATGTATGAAGACCGGATGCCCAACTGATGACCAGGTCAGGATTCCAATGAGTCCCCTTCCTGTTACCTTTCAGTTCCACCCCTCCTGGTCCAGGATCCTACAAAGGCTGGGCTCTCCGTATTGCATCTTCTTGTCTTTGAGAGACAGAAGTCCACCATCTCCTTGGAGGACTCTCCCTTGGCTCCCTGCCTTAGTCTATTTAGTTTCTGTGGCTATAATGGACTACCCCAGGCTGGGTGATTTGTAAAGGGTAAAGGTTTGTTCAACTCATAGTTCTGCAAGTTAAAGGTCCAGGGCTCTATCAGGTTTTGTCCTTCCTGCTGGTAACAGAATCCTGGGGCAAGGCAGGGCAAGCTAGGAGAGAGTGTGGCTTATATAACGAAGGCACTCTCTGGACAGGCCCTTAATGTGTTAATCCAGGAGTGGTCTGATGCCAAAGACTTCATTCTCAAATAACATGCTGATTAGAGATGATGTGTTCAGCACAAGAAATGTGGGGAACACCCTAGAGCCATAGAAGTTCTCCACCGCATCTGATGAGAGCCAAGGAGGGCATGGCTGATTACAAAGTCTTACCTGGCAGAGCAGGAGTAAGAGATCTGCTCTGTGAGCTCTCTTCTGCCTGCTGAATCTCCATTTCCCCCTCTTCACCCCTTCTCCCCTCTCCAGAGCCAAGAGTCAGAAGGTCATGCCATTGACTCCAAGGAAAAGCATCAGGGTATGGAACCAGATGGTCTCCTCAACTACAGCAGAAAACCACCGAAAGAGGCCATGTCGTAGTTCAATAAAAGACTTTCTTTATGGGTTTCTGGCAAAAAGCAAGGGCATGAGACAGTCTTGGGCCACAGAGCAAAGAATAGCTTTCCTATTCCTCTCAGTACATTAAAATGGGCACCAAGTCAATACTTGTTTAAGAAACAATCAGCCTTAGTACTCCCCCAAACATACTTGGAGGATCTCTGTACCACTACACTATTTTAAAGTCCCTTGTAATGTCACCTGCTAACTTCTCTGCTCCCCTTTCTGATTTGTGGACGATCTGAGGGTAGATGTGATGCTCTGAAACGTGATCCTTCAACCAGACACTAAGCATAAGATGGAAATGGGGCAGGAAGCATCCAGGTCCCTGGTTCCCAATGTGAGCACTCGCAGGGCTGTGCACCTCTGATACCTCCCATATAGACCTACCCCTCCAGGCCTCAAAGGACCTACAGACATCTGGCTAGCTTAAGCCCATCCCAAACTCCATCCCATCTCCCTTCCCTGAGGCTTCCTCTGAAAAATATATTTTAGTAACTTCTAAACAAATCACATCGCCTCTCCCAGTTTTTATTTGTTTAGTTAAATTAATTCTATTTTAATATTTCCATTAGCCATTTAATTTATTCTAAAACCCAACACTGCAAAGTAATAAAACTTCTCAAATATTGACAGACGGTAAGTAAATGTCATCCACATACAACCATCTGTTTTTCCTCCAGATTCCTCAGGATGTAGCATGAGCAGTTGAGGCTGATAAATGGGCCTTCATGAGCCTGTGGCATCTGCTGGGCTTGGATCTAGGTACCAGGGATCAATATGAGGCTCCCACTCCACAGAGTAAGAGGGAAGGGAGGTGAAGGGCTAGCGCACCCATGAGAAAATCTATCCAGCAAACAGAGCCAAAGTTACAGATTTTACAAATGCATAAGTGGAGTGGGCCCCTCATGGAGGGGGTGGTGTCTCAGGAGGCGCTGCACCTCCCTGAAGATCTAGAGGCAGTTAATGATTGCCGAAGCAGGGAGAGACATTTCCTTCAGTGGTGTAGTTGATGGTAAGTGGCCCAGGCATCTGAGGTCGCTCCTGTGGGTAGTCCTGGCTGAACTCTTTGGCTCACCCAAAGAAAAGGACACAAAAGTGAGAGGGACCCTTTTTGAGAACGGGAGAGGATCAGTGGGAGTGAGAAGGACAAGTGGGGGTGAATATGATCAAAATCCAGTCTATGCACATGTGAAAAATGCCATAGTGAAACTCATTACAGTGTATAATTAGTATAGGCTAATAAAAACATTTTAGAATTAATAAGCTGGGCCCAGCTAGATGGCTTAGTTGGTAAAAAGCATTTGTTGTTGAGCCTGAAAACCTGAGTTCAATCCCCCTAGGACCCAAATGGTAGAAGGAGAGAACCAACTCCTGCAAGTTGTCTTTTGACCTCCACGCTGGTACTATTGCATGTAACACACACACACACACACACACACACACACACACACACACACACACATATATATATTTGTGTGTGTGTGTGTGTGTGTGTGTGTGTGTGTGTGTGTGTGTGTAATGAAAAGTTGTTTAACTGGATAAGCTGACTTGAGCTATAAGACCTGTCATTTTTCAGCCACCTGCCCACCAAGTGGCCTCCAGTGTCTCTTGGCCATCTACTCTTCCTACCTACAGCTACCTAGACACCCACAGGGTAAGGATAGGTCAGCTGATAAAGTGCTTGCTGTACCCAAGCATAAGGACCTGAGTTTGATCCTCAGAACCAACATTTAGGGAAAACAAACAAAAACAGGCATGATGGAGCATGCTTGTACTTTTCAGCATTAGAGAGGCAAAAGTGGAGGAAGGACCATTAGGGTTCACTGTCCAGCCAACCTAGCTTAAGCAATATGTTCTAGACCAATGAGAGACCTTGTCTCCATAAAACACACATAATACACTAGGGAGATGGCTAAGTAAGGTCATACAAGCTTGTAGAACTGAGTTCAGGTCTCCAGAACCCAAGTAAAAGTTGGGTATGGTGACACACACACACACATCTGTAACCCTCCCACTGCAAGGACAGAGGCAGGCAGATCTCCAGAGCTTGATGGTAAGCCAGCATAGTGTGGGAGCCCACAACTGACTCAGTTTCCCAGTTTGATTCTGAAGTTTATTCTGAGTCAATAGAGTTCAAGCTTGCTTCCTCCAGGGCTGTGAGAAAGTCCTGATTAGCCCATGGGAAGGAACATACTATCTAGCTAGATGCAGGCTGCTGATGCCAGCCGGAGGTACATTGAGATAGAAAATGAAACTGCCTGCTCCTTGACACAAGGACGGGATAGATAACGGTTGAATGCTTATGCTATGCATTGTTCTACATCTGTCCTTCAAGACTGTATATAAGCTGGCTGTGACATAACCCCAGGACTGTCCAGCACTGACTGGCCGTCCTCTCAACTCTTTTCTGTCTTCTTCATTGTCTCTACAATCTGCATGCCTTTACCCAGAGAGCCAGCTGACTGGTCAGCAGGCTCTGACAGTATAGCCAATCAGTGTGCTGTCGGTGAGAAACCGTATCTAGAGAGATGAGGAAGGGGGATCAGTGAGAAACCCTGTCTAAAGAGACAAGGAAGAGGGTTGGCGAGACGGCTCAGTGAGTAAAGGCACTTACCACCAATCCTGATGACCTGAGTTCTGTCCAGGACCCAGATGATGGAAGGAGAAAACCGATCCCCTCAAGCCTTCCTCTGACCTCCACATGTATGCTGTGGCATGCACACCTACAGAGACACACAAGATAAATAAACAAATAAATTATGTCTTTTTAAAAAAAAAAGGAAAAGATGAGGTTGAGAGCAATTGAGGAAGACGCTCAACATCAACCTCTACCTCTATATGCTTGTGCACATATGTGCACACATACACACATGCACACACACAGATACTATATTCTACTCCATACATGCACTCATGCACGCGCACACACATACACAGATTGTACCCTCAAACTGTAGACCAAAATAAACCCTTTATTCCTCAACTTGCTTGGTGAGATATTTCATCACAACAATAAGAACAGAAATTAATTGTGATTGTTAATATTGATTATCAACTTGAAGGAATCACCTAGAAGACAAGCCTTCGGGCACACCTGTTAGGGATTATCTTGACTAGTTGAGTACCAGCATTCATCTCTCTCTGAATCCTCACTCTGGATATAATAATGACCAGCCAACTCAAGCTCCTGCTGCCTTGACCTCATCAATATGTACACTGTACCCTTGAACTAGAAAATATATTTTTAAATGATGAAGAAATTTGCCATCCCTCAGGGAAAAAAAGTCTCCTTGCAACAGATAGAAACAATTACAGTAAACCACAACCAATCAGAGGAGATGGAGGAAAGTATGATGGAGGACAGCCATGCACTGTGGGAGAGATGGGAAAGCTGATAGCTGCATGGCATTCTGGTCAATGTCCATTTGATCTATATACGAGTCAGGCCCTGAGTCCAGCCAGACCATTGTCATGATACCTAGGTAAGGTGGGCCACCAAGGACCAGTCTCTCATCAAGGACCACTGCTCCATACATAGGCAGGGACAGAGGAGTGAGGATAAATCATGAAGAGGCCAGAGGTACAGGCTTTGCCATCACCAGACCAGGGTTCAACTCCAAGGCTTGTTTATTTTTGAGGATTTTTATATGTAGAACTCCTGCTAGGAGGAAGTGAGACCCAGTGTTTGCAAATGAGATGCCTAGATAACACTCCAGCTCCTAGTCACTGAGGTTTTCACAATCTACTGTACCTGCTCAATGGACACGCAGCTTCCTGTGTGAGGATGTTCCAATTTTAAAGAGGTGAAAAAAGCCACTAGTCTAAGCCCATCAAGCTGGCAAGGGACATCAAGCTCAGAAAGCAGGTCATCCGACTTCAATGACCTTGTTCCTAGTCTCACCCTATCTGCTTCAGCAGGGTAAGCTTGTCCACTCCGAATCTCTGCCAGGAGAGAGGTGTGAGGTCATTTTCAATATTTCAATAGCCAGCCTCTGAGAGTCTGAGATATTCTGCCCCAAACTGCAACAGTGCGGACTAGAAACCATGAGGCAGCAGAGGTGTAGGCCAGTCTGAAAAGGAGGCCCTTACCCACTGAGAGTCATTCTCAACCCCTTGACCTCCCAAATGTCTCATTGTTTACAACCACCTTCTACCAGCCAATCCCTGGGATCTCGCTTCTGCCACCCCTGGCCTTACATGTCACCTTGGAGGGTGACCCAGGTTCTCCACCCTCCTTCTGAGGTCAAGAACGGTATTTTTGCAAGAGACCATTTCAGAGGCTCCCGCAGGCTCCAGGGAAGTGGGAGGAAACCTCAAACCAATGCCCCAGAGCAGGGACAAGTCAGTGTCCCCCATCAATCCTCCTATACAGCATGGCATGCTCTGGCAGGGTTTACGGAATGGGAGGGACACAGGACAATAGTTGCCTTTCCCCAGCTCCCCAGCAGCCTGTTCCCACGGTGGGCTCCAGCAGAGCCTCTGGCATGATGGGAAAGGTCAGCTCCCAGGAGTCAGACTGTATTCCTGCCATGGTCACCTCAGACCAGGGCTTCCCCACATCCTCCCTTGCTGACTTCTCTGCGGCACTCTCCGTAGTCCCTGCAAGAAGTGTACTGCTTTTCAAATCAGAAAAAGAAGGAAAGAAAACAATTAGGTAACTTTGCTATGTCTCGTTTGTCCTTAAGGACAGCTCAAGCTGCTCCCACCAACCTTCAGGGAGCATTACTGGAGTTGTTGGGGTCAGAATCTAGGCCCTGGCTGCCCGAACAAGCTAAGCTTGGTAACTTTCCTCACTATGCTAAAAATAACAGTGGTAAGTAGAAAAGGATGTATTTGATGAATATGGCCACATTGGGAAGAACAAAGATGCCCAGCTATGCCCCACCCCTACTCCTAAGGTTCATCTTCAGGATTTGACAGAAGGTCCTGGCTTCAGTAGAGAGCAATGGCATGTAAAACAAAGCAGTGCTAGTCAAGGTGAGGGGCCACCCGCCAATAGTGTCTTAGTTGTCCTGCCAAGCGATCTGACAAGCTGTCAGGACTGTGTGAAATCTCCTTCCAGGAAGCAAGTATTGCATCATTATAGTCCACCCCCGCAACCCCGCACCCCACTCCACCCCCTCTCCCCCAGCTGGCACCGGGACCCTAGTCTTGCCCTCCCAGCATGAGATTCCTGGGAAAATTCCAGTTTCCTGGGGTCCATGTCTCAATAGTCTGAGAGCCAAAGAGAGGGGCACAGCGTCCCTTTGGAAGCTCTTCCTTCCTGCTGGGTTGGCTGCAGAACTTGAGTAGGTCTGATTTTCCAGGGAACCGACACGAAAAGCCCTCGCACTGACTGCGAGTGCAAAACTGAACACAGCACACTCCCCAGAGAGACCTAAAGTTGCACCCCCGTCATAGTCCTGCAATTACCCTACAGGCCGGTTGCACTAACTGAGCTTCAGTTCCACATGCTACCTGTCCCTTACCCCCACCCTCCCACCCCACCCCACTCTCCCACCCTACTCTCCCACCCCATCCCTCCCCCTGTGAGGGGCCTGGGCCTGGCTTAGCAGGCTTAGCAGTGTTAGTGTCTCCATGCACAAGGAAATCTGGGAGGTAGAAAAAACCAAAAGGCCTGAGAAGATGGGAGCGTGGGTCTTTCCCATCTCGATTACCTTAGCTTCTATGTACTGTCTGACCATTGCACGGGAACTCTCTCTCTCTCGCCTCTGGAGACTGTGACTACAGCTCAGTCGGTACAGTACTTACCTAGCATGTACAGAGCTCTGGATTCTATCCCCAGCACCACATAAACCAGGCATGACAGTGGATGCCTGTGATTCCAGCATTGGGTGGTAGGAGGAGAAGGGTTAGAAATTCGAGGCCTCCACCGGGTTCGAGGCTAGTCTTCGCTACATGAGATTACAAGAACAGGTGTGAGTCCAGAGGGCAAATGCTGATGTTTCCAGGTTCTTGTGCCTCTTTACAATGAATTGTACAGAAACATGTGGGTAGTCAGAGGAAAGCAGATAGTCTATTACTATGGGGAATTTAATACAGAGGCACCTGGCTCAAAGAGGGCAAGAGAGAGAGAAGGCCTAGGGTAAGATCATCCCCAGTGACCTTTTATGAGTAATTAACGTAGTACCCATCTCTCTTAAGTTTGAACAGCTCAGGCTTTTCCGAGCATGCTCTCTTGGCTGAATGAAGCTCCACTGGGCTAAGGGCAGCCAAACTTTCTTGCTGTCACCTTTTGTATGTCAAACTCTGGAACTTCCTCCTTCACAGGTTCCCCACTTCAGTGAGGCTCCGTGTATGTGTGTGTGTGTGTGTGTGTGTGTGTGTGTGTGTGTGTGTCCCCTCTTAGCATGTGAAACTTGGAAAATCTGTCCAGTCAGCCCCCCTAGGCTGCCTTTCACAGATTCTCTGCAGGCTCTACCCCACAACAGACAGGGGCTCAGCCTGAAGGCTAGGAAAATCAAAGGCACTGCTCAGCTTTAAGCAACCTACTTAAATGCAAGAAAAATACGCCATTTCTAGGTTTAGGTCACTGAGGATAGAGGAGAGCATGGAACAGTGTATTGAGAAAGATTCTGAGGCTGCCTCTCAGTTCAGACTAAAAGTACTCTGTAGTGGATTAGTGATGCCTGCAAGGGGCACAGAAGTTTCTCTGAGGGTATGAGTGTCAAGAAGCTGTCAACCTTGCTGCGCCATGTCAGATACAGGGGGTGGGTTAGGGTAGTGAGGGCCACAGAGCTATGTTGCCAGCCTGGGAGCAATTTGTGAATCATCATTTGGGGAGGTGGATATAAGTGTCAATTTTCAGACTGTAGCAGTCATTCCTAGGAAGATGTTTGATCTTGTTTCAAACTATTTCCCCACTCTTGCCTGCCTTGTTTAAAAGTTTTACTATACTTATTATTAGTATTGTGTGTGTGTGTGTGTGTGTGTGTGCATATGATGTGTGTGTGTGAGTGGGGCATGCCTGTGCCACAGTGCACATGTGAAGGCCAAGTGATGGCATTGGGGAGTTAGTTCTCTCCCTCCACCATGGATTCTGAGGATCATCAGGTCATCACCCTTGAGCGGCAAGCGCTTTATCTTCTGAGCTGTCCAGCTGGCCCCTTGCCTGGCTTTTCCACAGCCCAGTGAGGAAATCTGGAAAACCTGTCATTCTATCCACCCTGCAGATGAGAAAATTATATTTCCACTTATTCAAATAAATCAGCTCTCGCCAAGGAAAACATATAAATGTGTGGCCTCATATCAAAAAAGCTGACTTTCTGGGCTGGGAAGATGGCTCAGCTGACAAAGCTACACAACTTGAAGACCTGAGTTCAAATTCCCAGAACCCATAGAGAGCCAGATGCAGTAGGGTTAGCATTCGGGCGTTTCCAGCAATCTGCCCTCCGGGACTGAACTACAGCAGGACATGTCATTGTTATTGTCAGCAGCAGCAGCAGCAGCAGCCAAGATTTGACACTGCCACACTGCTGTTTGGAGTCCTGCACTTTCCCTGTGCACATGCATGTGCCATATCCCCTTCTCTGCCTGCTCTTTTCCTTCTGCTCTCGCTCAGAGGCCGCCTCCGCACCCATCCCCAGAAACCTCTCATGTGGGATCTATTGCACGGCGTGACTTTGTGGAGTTCATTGGCTCCAACCCATCAACACACCTTCTGCCGTTAAATCATTACCAGTGATACCTATAATCCCAGTGAATCGAGGGAAAAGGTAGGCAA